AGGTCAGCTAATAGTGAGAGCTTCCTGTGCTACCGTAAGTCCTCTCCCCTGGCCTCTGTACTTTATTTGCCTTTCTTTGTCCATAACTTGGCAGCATTATCACCCAGTCCACGTGACAAGTGACATCATTGCTATAATGAGAATTCCAAGCAGCACCACTGGATCCAAGCCCATCTGTGTGCTTGCTCCCACACTTGAGAAAACAAATTCCAAATTCATTCAGCATGCCGGTGCCATTTAGTCACTGTGACATATCCCAAATTTTGGACTCTATGCAAAAACCGATCTGTGCCCACAAAATTAATCATGGAACACATTTTATGACGTTTGACAACAACTTAAAAGGTTCTTATCTTTGGCAGGTGGCTCTGCCAATCTGCAAGTATGTGCACGACAAATTCTGAACAATATATTGTGTGCCTGAAAATACATTGTGCAGGATGCATACCCTGGAGAGAGCCAGAGTGAGTCCAAACAATTCTGAAGTCTGTCTCAGTGACACATAAGCCAGACTGCTGTCTTGTGAAGGAAGGATGATGGCCTTAGGTACACATAGAACGCCAAAGAAAAGGCAACAGCTCATGTGCCAGTAAATGCTGAGAACATTGGCACAATTGCCTGTGTTGGCAGGACCAAGAGTGAGATGGCTAATTTAAGCGACAAGATCCTGGCAAACAGATTTATTTAGGGCAAGGGTGCGTCAGGAAGATGCCAGAAAAATGCATCAATCTGTGCCTTTACATGTACTGTAGAGTGATGATGAAACAACTGACATTAAAAAAAGTAAACCCTTACACTTTAATATAATCTGCAACTCATTCTAATAACAAGTAGGGTTTACCTTAGATTTCTGGTACTCTGAGATGGGGTTTTTGTGTTCTGAGCTAAGATTGGTGACCAAGAAAAATTCCCTTCTAAAGGTATTCTTGAAGACACTTCCCCATATTGTGGTGTTTAATTGATTAGACCAAGTGTTTTCATATATTGTTTATTTAAATGCAAGCTATTTCACATATGACACTTCACATTCACTTCAAATAAAGAAAGCCATTTGTCTAAAATTTTGCTTTTCTGAAGTGTGTATTATAGAAACTCAGTTGGAAAAAGAAAGAAAACTGAGACTTTAATTGTACCTATAGAAGCCTGAATAGGTCTCTTTATGTAAGAGTAATGTTTTACTCTGTAATAAGATGTAACTCTTTTAAATATGTATTCTATATAGTAGTGCCTATTTGTATACAATCTAACAGGCAATGAAAAAGTAAAACCTTCCACTGGGAGTGTCTGACTTCCTAATACTACTTCCTACTTTCCTAGGTTCCCCAGGTAACCTCCCCATCCCCAATGTTCCCACCCACTCCAGTTTTCTCTTCATTGACGCTGTCTTAGTACATTCCTCTTGCAGTGTCTTAAGAAAGTTCTCATACCTACAACCTACTTAGGGCTTTCATTTCTTATACAAACATGATATTTGCATAATTTAGCTTTCACTGGGATTTGTCTAGACTCAGACTTCCTATTCTAATTTGAGTGTTCCTCTTCATCTATAAGACAGGAAGTAATGTGAGCAAGCAACAGATGATGAAGAGTGCTTCCACAGGAAGAGTAATTCTTGACTAGGAAGCTGGCTGATTTAATAATCAGCAGAACCATAAGAACAAAAGCAGCTCTGCCTCCTTCGCGATGCAGAACAGTGATCAGTCTTCTCTTCGACAAAGTAAAGGAGTTGGAACTCTCTAGACCTCTCCTAACTCTAAATCTCAAAGATACATGAATTGGGGAAGGATATTTTAGGAGAACCCGCCTCACATATTCACTGATCCTTTCATTTACTTTCTGTGTTGAATATAAATGTGTTAATTAATTTGAATCATAGTTTCTCCACTCAGAAGTAGCTCCTAATACTTTTTCTTCCTTACCTATGCTTCAAATAATTAGCAATCTGTAGTGTTCTGAGTCCCAGGTCTTTCAAATGTGACTTTTTATTCCTTTCATTCTCTCTGAAAACTTTGAGGATCTTCTACTTATCCCTGGAATTCAGAAATTTTATGATGATATGTTATTAAGAAATTACCAAGGGTAGGGAATCATTCAAAAGGAACAAGGCAAACCAGCCACAATTCCAGCTCATGCGACTAGTTCCTACTCCTGCTAATCAGTGTGCGTGCGTGCGTGCTCAGTCATGCCAAACCCTTTGTGACCCCAGGGACTGTAGCCTGCCAGGTTCGTCTGTGCATGGGATTTTCCAGGCAAGAATACTGGAGCAGGTTGCCATTTCCTTCTGCAGAGGATTCTCCATACAGAGGGACTGAACCTGTATCTCTTGCATCTCCTGCATTGGCAGGCAGATTCTTTACCACTAGTGCCACCTGGAAAACCCCTGCCAATCAGAGTAGAACCTCACAATTCATGTGGCATGAGGTAAAGAACTTAGAAGGGTATTTATTTCCTCAGAGGTGGAACACAATTAGCCCTTCACAAAAGAGTGAACTGGTTCTATTTAACAAAGCTTAATATTAAGCCTCAAAAAACAAAATTATTTTTAAGTGTACCATCTACATTTCAAAACAAATCTCAAAAAATATTTATACAAATATAAAAATATCTAGCTCCCCCAAATGTAAATTTCACAATGTTTAGCCTTACTTATTTAGTGAGTTACCAATCATGCAAGAGGCAAGAAACTATGGGCTTCATAGGTTTGGCTAGTGGAAAAAGAAACTGCCTGCCAATGCAGGAGATGCAAGAGATAAGAGTTCAATCCCTGGGTCAGGAAGATCCCTGGAGGAGGGCATGGCAACCCACTCCAGTATTCTTGTCTGGAGAATCTCACAGACAGAAGGCTATGGTCCACCGGACAGCGAAGAGTTGGACATAACTGAAGCAACTTAGTATGCATGCATAAGCCATACTTTAGAGAAAAATCAATAGAAATAGCACAGATGACAGACATAGTAGACAAAGACATTAAAACTGTCATTATAATTTTACTTTATATGTTCAAGAAGCTAGAGGAAATATTGAGCATGTTAAGTGAGTACATGGAAAATCCAAACACACACATACACACACAAACCCCTAAATCAAACTGCTGAAGATAAAAAAGACAATATCTGAGATGAAAAATGAGCTAGATGGGACTAAGAGGATATTTTATGTTGAAAAAAGGAAACGGAAACCCTGAAAAGCTAAAATGAACAGAGTATTAGTGAGCTGTAAACAATGTCAGGCACGGGAATATACATGTAAACGGAGTTATCAAAGGAGAGGAGTTGGAGGATGGAAGAAAAGAAAATCTTTGAATGTCTGCATTTGTCTTTCTCCACATAGCAGTCTTAGTACCTAGCAAGGTGTCTGACAGACATTAAGCATTTAATAAACATTTGTTGAACATCTGTGACAAACAACAACAATGAATAAGAAATAAATACGTGAATGCTTCTGCAGGCTATAGAGCCGTTAGGAACCAATAAGGAGAAGAGGATGGGGAAAGGGAAGCTCAGCAGAAGCGCCACGTCTTCACAGCCCTGGAGGATGCATTCAGTCTGAGGATGCGTACAGCTTAGAGAGCCAGAGGAGATGGGGAAGGGCAATCCATTGAAGAAAACACAAACCAAGACTTGGAAACAAGGAGAAACGTGGTTTTGAATATTCCTCCTCTACTGGAGTGTCTACTCCATTTGAGGGGTAAAGAAAAATGAGGTTCGACAGATGAGTTAGGCTCACAGTACACACAGCTTTGGGCTTCCCAAGCAGTGCAGCGGTAAAGAATCTGCACGCCAACGCAAGAGACATGGGTTTGATGACTGGGTCCCAAGGACCCCCTGGAGTAGGAAATGGCAACTTGTCCCAGTATCCTTGCCTGGAAAATTCCGTGGACAGAGAAGCCTGGCAGGCTACAGTCCATGGGCCTGAAAAGAGTTGGACACGAATGAGCATACCCACAACTTTAGAAACAGAAAACAAAGGTAGAAGCCACTGAAATTTTTGAAGGGGAAAACAAAACGTGTGATGGTTGCATTCATGATGGACTAGAAGAAAATACTATGTTGAATGGAAACAGTGGATGGGGGCAACTAGGAAGTTGCTAAAACAATCCGGTCATGAACTGCTGAAAAGCTGTTTGTGAAAGCACCCAACTGATTATCAGCATAGACTAGCACTCAAATAAATGTTAGTGGAATCTAAATACTGAGCAAATTAATATTTTACTTAAGGACTAAAGCTTTCTTGGTTCAAGAAAATTTCAAAAGTGGCCCTAAGAATCTATAATGTATTAAGAATATTACTTGATTCCTAATATGTCATTTTAGGGGCTTCCCTGGTGGCTCAGTGGTGAAGAATCCAACTGCCAATGCAGGAAGCTGCAGGTTCCATCCCTAGGTGGAGGAGATCCCCTGGAGAAAGAAATGGCAACCCACTCCAGTATTCTTGACTGGAAAATCCCATGGACAGAGGAACCTGGTGGACTACAGTCCATGGAATTGCAAAGAGTTGAACAGGACTGAGCAACTAACCACCACCCAATCTCATTGCTTAAGAATGTTAAGAACTCAGACACAGAACTCCTATGCAGGACAGAGGGATAAACTGAGGCCAAAAAAAAAAAAACGATAAGTGAGCACTCCAAGCTCACAGAGCCCCGAACAGTCAAGCTGGAACTAGAGTCCAAACTCTACCTTGTGAAACCAAGGGTTCCAAGGGAAAAGAATATGGCTCGAATCCCCAGGAATGGGGCAAGAGCCGGGAAAGGGACTCTTTTCAACTATACCTGGCCAAGGGATTTCAGAATCTTAAGACTGCTGAAGTGCAGCACAAGACTGGCCTGGGAAGCCCACTACCCACACACTCTCTACCTCTGGAAGACTCGACGAGGCCCAGAGCCGCCTCTTCCGCTCTCGCGATACTGGACGGCCCTGCTCCCGGCTCCGCTAGGCTCCGCCCCTCCACCGCAGCCCCTCTGTCGTCACTTCCTGTGGGTCTGCAGGCAGAGGGAGAAGATGGCGGCCCTGGGGGAACCCGTGCGACTGGAGAGGGGTGAGTGGGGCCGAGCCTGGGACCGACGTGGGCGGAGGAGGTAGGGGAGTGCCTTGTCGTCCAAGGGGCCGAGTGGGCCAAGCTCCGAGACCCCGAACCAGGCTTTCCCTCGCTCTGGCGCTTGTGGCCACAGATGTCGATGCGCCGGGCCTGGGGAGGGGGCTGGACGCTCTTGACTGATCCTGAGACCCCCTTTGTGTTCACATGGACTGTGCCGGAGTACAGCATAGTTCACCACCACCTGTCTGCATTCGCAGACACACACTGTATCCGCGCTCCCTGGGTTGGCAGGGCCTACTTTGCGTTCAGAGACGTGTCAAGCTGAGCAAATATCCCACGCCCAGTTCGTGCAGACTACCCGCCCTGCCCTTTTTGACGCGTTCATACACAGTGTCTCCGCCTTCACTCACCCAGCCGGGACACGCAGCGCGTTCCCACCAAACTCCCTCTAATTTAGGCACAAATGCCATCATTACTTCCACCACAACCTCGCTTGTATACATATTAGGGATATTTCCTGACTGTGGTGCCCCTCCGGGTACGGAGAAGGTGCTTTATAAACAATCCTTCTGCTGTGGTCCTGGAAAGAAGGTTGCATAACTAGAAGGAATAGTAATTGTAAATTACGTTAAAGTGCAGCATTATTCTTCATTACAAATCCTAAGATTGCTAACTGGTTGATTGCTTGCTTTTTAGAGCAGGCAGTCAAGAAAAATAAAACCTGTTCTGCTAAGTAATTAAAAACCGAAAAGCCAGTGAAGTAAAAGACTATGAGCCTAAAAGCGTACTGTTGCAGTTTTTTAGCATTCCACTATTCCCCAAATTCTTTATTTCATAGAATTTCAAGTATACTCTTGACACCTGTATTAGAAGTCATCAGTAAGAGTCAAAAAGTAAAACTAGACATTTCGAGTACTAGTACTAAACAAAGTATAAGATGGAGATTGACAGTATCTTGTAAATATTAACATTTGCATTTACAGTTTGAATATTTAAGTAGCTTCTGCTCTAAAAAGAGGTACATTTTTAGAATTGAATTTTGGAGTCTTTCCTCATACCTTTACACAGACCCATGCACACTTAACATTATTTATTCCTTGTGGTATTCACTATTTGTAAGTCTCTTTACAAGTAATGTTTTCCTCTAGCCCACCAGACCATTAATTAAAGTATCGTTTTGACAGAGGAGCAGCTTACTCTGGGAAGATTTGCTAAGTTAGGCCTAAGACTGTGACATGTTCTTCCAAGCACAATGACACTGTGCTTTGTAGATGGGAACAGATTTGTCTGGTGTTAACTGGAGTAGGTGTTTTTCTTTGAAAACTAGTTGTAGAATTCTAGCATGTTGGCGGTTTTTTGTATTGTTAAGTGCAGTACAAAATGTGAAGCTTCACCTCTGGCATTTAGTTTTGGTAGTCATGACTTTCTGTTTTCTCCTGTTTCAGAGTTCATTTCAGTTGCACAGTAAGAGTGCTTAGAACCTGAGGATAAGCTATTAGTGGATGCCATTTAGTAGGATAAGAAAGATTACATCCACTCTGATTCTGACTTAGCATTCTGTTTAACAGATTCTATTAAGAAGCTCTCCCAGCAATCCTATAGTATAAAATTAGTTCATATGATCAAGATCTTGAATGCCTTCAAAGACATTGAAACAAAATTTAGTGGAACACATTTGAGAACATACTGGGTACAGTTTAGGTTTGGTAAAGACTATTTTACTTTTCCAATTTTTTGTTAGTTGGAACTTTTCATATAGCTTGTATATTATAATTTTGTAGGTCAGAATATTTGATGAACCAGGACTCCCCATTCACCAGCTATTCTGATGGTGGGAGATGAGAATGGGGAAAGTTTTTTTCCACTGCATTGGATTAACATCAGTTTAAGCTTCTATTTGGAGAAGGCAATGGCACCCCACTCCAGTCCTCTTGCCTGGAAAATCCCATGGATGGAGGAGCCTGGTAGGCTGCAGTCCATGGGGTCCTGAAGAGTCGGACACGACTGAGCGACTTCACTTTAACTTTTTACTTTCATGCATTGGAGAAGGAAATGGCAGTCCACTCCAGTGTTCTTGCCTGGAGACTCACAGGGATGGGGGAGCCTGGTGGGCTGCCATCTATGGGGTTGCACAGAGTCGGATGTGACTGAAGTGACTTAGCAGCAGTGAGCTTCTATTACCTGAAATTGAAAAATCTACTTCTTGCTTCACTACATTTATTCCTAATTTTCCAGTTGCAAACAAAGACAGCCATACTGATTCTATAAAGAGAAAAGTTCCAATCCTTTAGTATAATAGAAAATTTGGAATTCCTTCCACTTAATACAAAAGGAGGGAAGGAACTTTAGAATAATAAGTACTCTAGCCCCCTGTGGTACAAACACTGTTAAAAAAAAAATCAGGGGAGAAATAGTATGAAACATGACTGAATCTTGTAAAAGTTTCTTAATTTGTAAAACACTTTTCCTGACATTTCCCAATGAGAACTGCCTAACAGGCTTAATATATGTCTGTAAAAGTGTAGAACATCTTAATGTTCCTTATTAATTGGTGCTAATGTAACATAACATTTATGCTTGCCACATGTCAGGTCCTTACCATGTTTTTTTGTTTCATTGGTCATGTAATTCTTATAAAGGAGATACTGTTATTTCCATTTTATAGTGGAAAACAGACACAAGGAGTTTAAGTTACTTGCCCAAGATCACCCAGCTGTTACTGATACCAGACTCACAAACTAATTGCTTTGTATTTTGTAAACATGTATTTGACTGAGCTTGTCTTAATTAAAACACTGTGTGATGATCCTAAGTTGAAAGCAGACCAGTTAATTTTACTCATTTGTATCATTGTTTTAAATTGTGTTGCTGCCAGTAACTAACTGCACATGTTATTGAAGAGTTTTTGTATGTGCATATATATTAAGTTTTCTTTTGGGAAATAGTGACTTCATTAGCACAGAGTTTTATACTGCTCAGCACTTTGGTTACTATTGATGGTAGGTAAATTTTTATTGACTAAGTAGCTTCTGATAATGCTGTCAGCTTTTCTGAAGTACTACAGTGTTCATGTGTCTGTTACATTTGAGCTCCAGTTCTTTCCTGTGACGTTTAGGACTTTATATTTGTTTTCCTGTGTCTCTTAAAGATATGGTTTTTCAGATTTTATGCATGTTCAGCATCAGTTTTTCTTCCTAATCTGCTGTAAAATTTATGCTGTAAAATTTAACATTCTTCTCAGGCTTTACATTCCCACCCTCCATACATGAACCCCTATATGCACAAGTTGATACTCTTAGGCTTTTTTTCCTCTGTGTTCTATAGATTTTTTGTTAGCCATTGAGGAATAAATCCTAATGCTGCGCTGTTACAGAGGCATTTAGAGAAAATTATCTATCGGTGTGTGTTTGTTTAACTCTAGATATTTGTAGAGCAATTGAATTGTTGGAAAAACTGCAGAGAAGTGGAGAGGTACCACCACAGAAACTTCAGGCTCTACAGAGAGTCCTTCAGAGTGAATTCTGCAACGCTGTAAGAGAGGTAAGTAAATGCGATTAAAATTGACTGTAAACTTGCATTATTTAGGGTAAGATAACATTCTGCAATTTGGGTTTGTAGTTTCTTAAAGTTAACTGTAGAACCCACCCCTCTCATTTTTGGAATTTCTAGCAGAAAAACGTGGTACAAAGATGCATAACTTTTTCTGAAATTTTGACACATTCATTAACTTTAAAAAGAACTCAAGCGTGTTATATTTTGAGATTTAAAATCACAGTGATAACTTTGGGTTTTGCAGGTATATGAACATGTCTATGAGACTGTGGACATCAGTAGCAGTCCTGAAGTGAGAGCTAATGCAACTGCAAAGGTACATTTTTTTCCATTTACTGAAAGTGAGAGGATTCATCACAAATTAGAGGTTTAAAATGTGAAGTTATTAGTTTCATAATAGACTTATTTTAAAAACTAACATATTGTGCCTTTCAGGCTACACTAAACTCAATTACTGAAAAGCAGGACTTTTTAATTGGCTTTACAAAACACATTTTATGTAGTCTAGATGATACATTAAAATATATTTGCATACAAATAATACATATATATAATATGTGGTTGCTGTAGGAATACATATATATAATATGTGGTTGCTGTAGGTAATATATATCAGTTCAGTTCTGAAGTTCAGTCGCTCAGTCATGTCCGACTCTTTGCGACCCCATGAATTGCAGCAAGCCAGGCCTCCCTGTCCATCACAAACTCCTGGAGTTGACTCAAACTCAGGCCCATCAAGTCAGTGATGCCATCCAGCCATCTCATCCTCTGTCGTCCCCTTCTCCTCCTGACCCCAATCCCTCCCAGCATCAGGGTCTTTTCCAATGAGTCAACTCTTTGCATAAGGTGGCCAAAGCATTGGAGTTTCAGCTTCAGCATCAGTCCTTCCAATGAACAGCCAGGACTGATCTCCTTCAGGATGGACTGGTTGGATCTCCTTGCAGTCCAAGGGACTCTCAAGAGTCTTCTCCAACACCACAGTTCAAAAGCATCAATTTTTCGGCACTCAGTTTTCTTCACAGTCCAACTCTCAACATCCATATATGACCACTGGAAAAAACCATAGCCTTGACCAGACGGACCTTTGTTGGCAAAGTAATGTCTCTGCTTTTTAATATGCTATCTAGGTTGGTCATAACTTTCCTTCAGAGGAGTAAGCGTCTTTTAATTTCATGGCTGCAGTCACCATCTGCAGTGATTTTGGAGCCCAAAAAAAGTCTGACACTGTTTCCACTGTCTCCCCATCTATTTCCCATGAGGTGATGGGATCAGGTAATATATATATCATTATGTAAATATTCATCAAAATTCTGAGGTATAGATTATTAGTCTCATTTTATTGGTGAGGAAGCATCAAATTCGATTACTTGCTTCAAATCACACAAATAGTAAATGGTAGATATGAAGTACTCCCCTATGTTGCCATTCACTTAACCTTAACTCTGCAAATAGCAGGTTACCTCCTCAGAGCTACAGGGGGCAGGTTTTATGTATTTTTCTGTACCAGTGTTTTCCTCAAATAATTCAAGCACTGATCTCTGTCCATCATCTGTGGTGGTGGTGGCTCAGTCACTCAGTTGTGTCTGACTCTTTACAACCCCATGGACTGTAACATGCCAGGCTTCTCTGTCCTCCTCAATCTCCTGGAGTTTACTCAGATTCATGTCCTTTGAAGCCATGATGCTGTCTAGCCACCTTATCATATGTGGTTAGAATAAGTTACTGTCAGTAGTAGGTGGCTTACACTGAAACTAGTCATTAGCAGGTAACTATTCATTGATAGTTAACTGATTCACAAAAGGCAGTATTGGATTCTCTGTTGAGTCATGTGGGTTTTGTTTGACCGAGTGGGAAAAAACAATTAAAACTTGGGTTTAATTCCTGACTTTCACAGCCTCCTGAACTTCTGAGCCTTAGTTCCATTATCTATAAAATGAAGCCTCTTTAAGAGCTTAGAATATTCAGCAAATCTTGATTTTCTCTCTTCGTTCCCATGTTTTTCATATACCCTGATCTAATACACAAAAAAATAGTACCAGATTAATTAATTACATTTAAAAGCAAAATGAAACCCGAATCCTCAGCCTCGTGTTAGAATTCCTCTGAATCAGTCTAGATTTGAAAGATGCAGCTCTGTACGGGCTCATACACAGTGCAAATAGCACGGCAGCCAGAGTGGCTGCGTGAAAGGGCCCCTGCTGCGTTCAGGTCACACACACGGGTTGTGCCACCCACACCCCTGGACGCACCAGGCCGACCAGCCCCGGGGGTGGCGGCCTGCGAGGAGGGGGTACCCCCTGTTAGCGTGCACACTGGTCATCCCCTGGGAGGCCTGCTTGCCGGCACGGCACAGCCGTTCTGGGCATGGGCGGGACCGGGAGTGACCTGAACGACCTCAGCGCACTCTGCATAATCCCAGAGGAAGCTTTCCAGTCGTCCTCTTAAAAACACTATCTACTTAGCTTACCTTCACTCTCAGTGAATTTGTGGACATTCAGACATCAAAAATAACTTACTTCAAAAGTGGTTTTTAATTTGATACTGATTTCTGATTATCAGTATCACTGTGATTCCACAGTGATAAAAGAACACACTCTTACGATTTCAGTACCTTTAGACCATGAAATTTTTGTATTTTGTTTTATGTCCCAGGATATGTTTCAGTTGTCTACTGGTTTATAGTCTATGGGAACTTGAATAGAATTTATATTCTGCTATTGTGTGAAAATTGTATAAATCTTAATTATGTTCAATCCATTCATAGTGCTTTTCAGGTCTACTATCCTACTTTTCTATCATTCTATTAATTTTTGAGAGTTTGATATTGAAACTTCAACTAAAAATCTTAATCTACTTAAAAAATATATAGTGGGGACTGGATGTAACTTGGTTCTATATTTTTCAAATCTGCTGTAAATATGTTACCATACCCGCATAATTTAAAAAAGAAAGAAGAAGAAGTGGTTTTTAAAAAGGGACAAAAGAGTGAAGTAAACAAAGGTCCTATTTTTTTAAATATATAAAATTTTCTTTCAGGCTACTGTTGCTGCATTTGCTGCCAGCGAAGGGCATTCTCATCCTCGAGTTGTTGAGCTACCAAAAACAGAAGAAGGCCTTGGGTTCAATATTATGGGAGGCAAAGAGCAAAACTCTCCTATCTATATCTCTCGAATAATTCCAGGTGGAATTGCTGATAGACATGGGGGCCTCAAGCGAGGAGATCAGCTCCTTTCTGTTAATGGAGTGGTAGGGATGCATTTTATTTCTACTTGACCACTTGGGGGTGTATTTGAGTCATAGAAACAGTTGTGCCCGACTCTGTGACCCCATGGACTGTAGCCTGCCACACTCCTCTGTCCATGGGGATTCTCCAGGCAAGAATACTGGAGTGGGTTGCCATGCCCTCCTCCAGGAGATCTTCCCAACCCAGGGATTGAACCCAGGTCTCCTGCATTGCAGGCAGATTCTTTACCATGTGAGCCACCAGGAAAGTCAGAAACAGAACATGCAGGGAAAGACCAAGAAGCTTTGTAGTTTAGAAACCTCTCTTAGGCACTGCTGTTTAGTGAAGTGATACTTTTTGAAGCACTTTGTGTGTGTTTTGCTTCTTTCCAATGTAAATTAGCGGTGCTTAGTGTGATTTTTATGAAGTTACTAAGCTTTTTAGTAGTTAAGGTAGTACATTGAATCGAAAGCCTCTCCTCAGTTTAACTTTATCAAATAGCAATTGCTTGATTTACTTCTGACCTAGTGAAATAATAGGGCATGTAGATTGATATGCTAGGTATTTGAAACTTAAAAACCGATTTGTGGACTGCAGACAGAATATCATTTAGCAGACAATTTTACACTGATTAAAGTGACAAAGCAGGACTACTTCGTAGGTTTATAGTTTGAAATACTATAACATTAAAATTTTTTTACTTGTATATGTTTTAAACATTTTTCATTTCAAGTTAACATACAAAACATAGATATTAATTGTGTTTCTGTCTGTGGTTTGTTTTTTCGTAGAGTGTTGAAGGAGAGCATCATGAAAAAGCTGTCGAACTGCTGAAAGCAGCTCAAGGAAAGGTTAAATTAGTAGTGCGGTACACACCCAAGGTCTTGGAAGAAATGGAATCACGCTTTGAAAAAATGCGATCAGCAAAACGCAGGCAACAGACCTAATGCAGTTAAAATCTTTCTATTCCATTTTGCTTTTTAGCTAGAGAAGTTTTACTTGTGACCTACTGATGGCCACAATGCCAATGATTGTAAAAACAACAAACTTCCCGTGAAATCCTCCTTGCCATTTTATAAATACCTATTTTAACATCATTTATGGTTCCAGAGATGCATACACTTTTTTCTGACTAGAAAAAGTAAAAAGGTAATGAGGGCAGTTCTGTCCTGCTGTTTTTACAGGCCTTTTTCAACAAATGCAGATTTTGTCATAAAGTTGTTATAGATTTTTAAAAATGCTTTTTTAATATTAAAATGTACTTTTACATTCTTAAATCTTTTTTTAGGAAAAAAGGTTTTCTTTATTTGCTTATTTAAAATGAACAGTTCTCCATTCTTTTTTTTTTTAACCTGTAACATTTCTTTATGCTTTTCCAAGAAATTACACGTAACAGTCTCGGCAGTTCATTACACTATCAATTCATTGTTAACATCGCTGCTGCGTTTTGTATTTGAAACACACACATAATATAATCAATGGTAAATTATAACTCAGCACAGTGGGAGTTTTTTACTTTTATTTAAACATAATATATAATGAATATTTGTTTGTACTGATTTATAAAAGTTTTTAAACACTGATACAATCATTGCTAAAATATGTATTCTTTCATAATATTTGAGCAGTGAGGCAAGAGAATGTAATTTGATTGTTTGCATTACTGATTACATCTTTCTGTTTATATTAACTATATCATAAATTACAAATGCAAAAAAGGTTTAGGTTTCTTTTGCAAATTTTTTTAATGCTATTCATTGTTATTTACATATACCTTCTTTTTCATCCTTCCATTCCTAGAGATAAGCCAGTTAGTTTGTGATGGGATATAGCAAAGGAGAAAAAATACCTTTAACCTCACCAGCCTCAAGAGTTATAGCTCAATTTAAAGAATTGATACTAAGTAAAAAAAAGATATGTTTAAGAAACATAGAAATTATGATGTGATGCATTTCATTAGAATCTGCATACACTTTGTGAAAATGAGTAAGAACTCATTCACAGTAAAATTGTTGGATTAAAGTCGTGATTTTTATGATTCAAATATAATGATGAGAATTCTGAGATACTTTCATTTGTCCACTGGATGTCACTGTTTTACTGAAAGGCAGCTATTAGTGGATGACTGTGACTGAAGTCTTTTTAAAGGCAGAAATTAAGAGTTAAGGAACATATTCAGACACAACTTATAGGAACATTTGGCTTTTAAAAATTTTAAGTGACAGGTGCTAGAAAGAAAATAATGGATTGAAATATATAAGGACTTTAGAATAATTATCAACCCAGTGTAAAGAGTGGGCATTTTGTGACATTCCTTCAGGAAGAATAGAAATGTGTATCTTTTTCTGCATGTTTGTGAGCACTGTGAGTCTTAAAAAGATTATTCCAGTTTTCAGTGATTTCAGAATTAAAATCAATCAGCATTGTTATTTATCTTTTAGGTATTGAACACTGGATTGCATGGTTGAATGTGTCTTTAGTCCACTACAAAATTGCTTGTTATTGATAGGATCATGTTGTTGAATTGTATATTTCCAAAATTAATTGATGTTTTTAAAATGTTGAGACCAAAGTAGGGTAGAAGAATTATGGACTTAATTTAAATGTAAAATTATTAGAGGTATTTGTTGTAGAGCTTTATATATTAAAGAGAGGTATTGGTGCATATAAAAACTAATATTGTTGTTGTGCTTGTATTCTTGCATTACAGGGTAAGTAAACCCTGAAGAAATCTTATTTTAGTATTGCTACAGCTGCAGTAGCTTTTAAGGGTGTGTCAACATTTCATTATAAATTATAGCTTCCTGGTTCAGTATCTCAGCTGTTTCAGAACTTTCAGCCAAGTTAAATCTTTTTTGGTGTTGAAAGTTAGTAAGTTGAGTAAGCTATTTTTTGTTTCTTCTACAGTAATCCACAATCTGTGCTTTGTGTGGGTTGGCACTTATTTATAATTTTTAAAATATGGATAGCTTAAAAGAGCCAAATACAGTCGTTTCGCTTGCTCCTGTTGAGCATGAGTAGCAGTAGTTTACTTTCTTTAATGCAGCCTTCATAGAGTGTCCCAGAGTTTAGATCCTGACCGTAGAAAACGCAGTCACTCAGTGGTGAAGGTGCGTGAGAGTGGTTCAGTGTGTGAGGGAGTGAGGGGGGTTCATCTTACAAATGCGTGGTTCGTGAGCATAGCTAAGACATGGTAGGTAAGTAATAGGTATTTGATTTATAAATGTAAATATAAGTTATCTTCCCTCCCCAGTTTCCATTTATTTTCTTGGTATTTCAAAATGAGTTGACTCAGTGATTCTCAACCTTAGCTGCATATTAGAACGCCCTGCAGGCCTTCAAAAAGGTAATGACACTTGAGTCCTACCCCATACCAACTAGATTGTAATCTCTGAGGTGGGGCCAGATGCTTATTTTTTCAAAGGTTTCCAAATGGTTCTAAAGGATATCTAGGGTTGAGGACCACTTGTTTCCCCCATTATAACATGCTCTAATTACACTGGACTCTGTTTGGAAGCATCAGAATAATTCAGTTTACAGCTACTACTAAATAGCTACACATGTAAGGGTCAGTTATATTTCTTAGTAATCTCTTTAGGAATAAAAGGTGCTTGGCATTCCTTATTGGGGAAGTAACTACAGCTTAACTTTTTCTTTCTTTTTTAAAATAAAATCTGCCAGTAGTTCAAATGTAAGTTTTTAATGTCTGTCATCTTTCCGCCCTCTTTGCCTTTAAAACTTTCAAAAATAAATGTCTGTTATTTGAGAAAGCATGTTTAAAAATTGCAGATGATATTTAATAATGTTTTCATTGATAATTACAAACTGTCTTAATATGGCCATTTTATCCATTAGTATAACACTAGGTTATAGTGGCCTCATTCTTTGGGGTTTGATGATTCAGATGTGGTTTTTTTTTAAATTGTTGTCTTTTCTAAATTTTTGAAAGTTACTTTGCTCAAGTACTTAAAATAGTTTGGCTCAAGTACTTTGTTTACAATATAAGTCGATATTATAGCATTTAATAGAAGAAATGGCTATGGCTTATCTGAAAAGAATGTCAGCATGACTTGGTGTAGACTTACAAGACTATGTGTTGTGAATATTTTATTATGTGGAATGATCATTGAAATATCAAGGACTCTAGTAATTGTATTTCCTGAATAAATGTACATTTATGAATTTTCTAACTTATATTTTGTTGTTCCTTTGTTAACAGTCTGGTTTTATACTTTTTATTGTCCAAAATGTCACTAATAGTGTTTCTTCAAAGGTTGTTGTAGTTCTGTAACGATGAAATAGTGGAAAAGTGCTTGTTCATTAATTTTCAAGAACTTCCAGACTAATTTATATATGGATATAGTTTTTAAAAGCATCAATAAACAATATGCTTCTACTTTTAAGTTTGAAGTAAAGGAATATGTAGCCAAAATAGATTTAACACTTTTTCAGTGGGTGACTTCATTTATCAGTTCTGATTCTAGGGCTTATTAAAATAAATTTATATTAGTTATATTTTTGTTCTTTGGATTTTAAAAAAATTGATGTAACTACACAATCATTGTGTTTCTGAAAGATATATATACAATAACGTAAATGAGGTAAAAGCATACTCAGGTGGTTACTGGAATGAAACTTAAAATTCCTACATTTTGCTTTGCCTTTCCTAAAATATAACTGGAGAGAATAAAGATTCTGTTGTATTATTTTAAGAGGCTGTCTGGCATGTGATTGAGAGCACAGAACCTAGAGCCTGACAACCCTGATTTGAATTGTAGATTCACCACGACTGTAACCTTCCGCAGGTTACCGCTCTGTGCCTTACCAGTTCCTTCATCTGTCTGTGTAGTGAGGATGCCTGTGTCATATTGTGACCTGTAATCCCTTAGAAAATGGCCTGCACAGTAAGTGCTGTTTATGTTTGCTGTTACTTTTGTGTATGATAGCTTTAGGGCCTTATCTAGCTAAAGGAAGACATTGTGGCCAAATAAATTTTTTTTCATTTGTTTTTATTGGTTGGAGGCTAATTATGATTTTTTGGCCAAATAATTAATTAGCAAGTTCTTATTTTTTACTTTCGGTTGCTTTAGGTGTTCACTGCCTGCGTGCAGGCTTTGTGTAGTTTCCAGGAGCAGGGGCTGCTCCTGGCTGCAGCGCGCAGGCTTCTCATTTCGGAGGCTTCTCTTGTGGAACGTGGGCTCTAGGGCACTGGCTCAGGAGTTGTGGTGCCCGGGCTTAGTTCTCGGCATGTGGGACCAGGGATCAAAGGACCAGGACCAGGATCTGATCAGACCAGGGATCAAACTTGTATGCCCTGCATTAGCATGTGGATTCTTAACCATTGGACCACCAGGGGAGTCCAGCAAGTTCCTATTTTTGATGCCTGGAAGATTAGATAACTAACCTTTAAATTATGCTTGAAAGTAAACAAGATTTACAGGAAATTTCAGATTTCACGCTGATCAAAGAAACTCATGGAATTCTAAAATAAAGCGGAGTTTGGGGGACGTAGGGTTGAGGTCACATTCAGAATGAAACTTGTAAGAAATAAGTCCCAGTAAGAGATTTGTTAATCAGAAAAGCAATTTGTAGGGAGGATATGACCTGAAGATAAGTGAATTGCTGGAATGGGCCCCAGACAACACAAGGCATAATTCACCATAGTGAACTTTTTAAAGGCATAAAAATATACGGGCAACCGAGGGTACAGTGAACACATTGTTAGCCCTCAATTTCTTCAAAATTTCAGTAGACCAGAATAGCGTTCTCTATAAATCTTTAAATTCTGGTTTTGTTATGTTCATTATCATTGATTATTCTACCTTTAATATGATGAAGTGGTGACCTGGTCTTTTTTTACATTTATTTCTTTGTTGGCAAAAAACCTGATGAAATATTTAGGACTTAGTTTATATACAGAGCAAAAGTAAATTCATACAGATTCCAT